GGTTGGGCTCTGCATGAGCGCTCCCCTTTCTGGTCTCCCAACTCTATTTGAGGTTACTGTGTATTAATTAATTTTTTAAGAAATTTATTTAATGAAGTATACAATGTCGTGAATTTACAATGTTGTGTTAGTTTCTGGTGTACAGCATAGTGATTCAGTTATACATATATATATTCTTTTTCATTATAGGTCATTACAAGATATTGAATGTGGTTCACTGTGCTATACAGTAGGACTTTGTTTATCTATTTTATATATAGTAGTTTGTATCTGCTAACCCCAAACTCCTAATTTATCCCTTCTCCTTCTTTCCCTTTAGGTAATCATAAGTTTGTTTGCTATGTCTGTGAGTCTCTTTCTGTTTTGTAAATAAGTTCATTTGCATCATTTTCTTAGATTCCACATATAAATGATATTATATGATATCCATCTTTCTCTTACTGACTTACTTCATTTAGCGTGTTAACTTTTTATACTTCCAAGATTGGCAATTCAGAGCAAAGCTGTTATAAACATAAATGTGCAGGGTTTTGTGTGGACATTCGTTTTCAACTCATTTGGCTAAAAACCAAAATTGCTGCATCATGTAGTAAGAGTATGTTCACCTTTGTAAGAAACTGCTGAACTGTCTTCCGAAGTGGCTGTACCATTTTGCATTCCCAGCAGCAATGAATGAGAGTTCCTGGAGCTCCACATCCTTGTCAGCATTTAGCATTGTCTATGTTTTGAATTTTAGCCATTCTAATAGGTATGTAGTGGTATCTCCTTGTTTTAATTTGTAATTCCCTGAGGACACATGATGTTGAATGTCTTTTCATACACATACTTACAATCTTTATATATTCCTTTAGTGAGGTATCTCTCTAAATCTTTTGCCCATGTTTAAATTGGGTTGTTTGCATTCTAACTGTTGAGATTTAAGAGTTCTTCAGCTTTTTTTTTTTTAATTGTTTACTTATGGTAGTCCCTCTCTCTTTCCTTCACAGGTCTCTCCAGTTCCACTCCCTCCCGATTCTCATCTGTGATCTTTCTTCCTGCAGAAAGACAACACAACACCAGAGAAGTGTGTTCTTTGCCTACTGGCAGAGAAGGGGATTCTGCTAGAGCAGCTGGGGGGGGGGGGGCAATTGAAAGCATGTTTTAAATATTTCCTTGGTTAAAAGCATTAAGTTTGATAAAGACTCTCTCTCTCACTAACCTCTAGATTTACATCTGATAATACTGGGTAGTGTGAACAAAAATACTGCAACCATATCAGTAAACAAAAAATGCTGAAACCAAGTCATCAGCGGTTGCCGCCACCCCCAAGTAAGGACAGGCCTGCAGTCCAGCCTCTGCAGCCACTCACAAAGGTGCACTCTGAGCGGACTCAGAATAAGAAAGGACAGGATACTGGCCCTAGATAGCTAGGTGCTTGTCAAAGGAATGAATTCTGTGAGCCCAAATGTTTGCTTCCTCCCATACATAGAAAAGCACTGAATTCATTAACTTGAGATGCCTGGCTTTCTTTAGATAACAAGCAATCTTTTATTGTTCCAACTACCTGGTCTTTGTTGTAAAGCTCCTATATATCCTAGCTCCTCTCCTACCTCTATCTGAGAGGCTGTCATCCCGGCTCGAGTCCTCCCGCCAAATAAAACATAACTCTTAACTTTTAGGCTGCGCATTTATTTCAGTTGACAGTAGCGTATTTTTATAGTCAAATGAGT